ATTCCACCCCATCTGACTCTATTTCTTGTGCCATCCTACCTATCTAAAAAAAAATGAATGCCAGCATCTACCAAATTAGTCAAATAAAATCTAGAAAGCAGTCTTGGTTCCTATCTTCCCTTCTTCCTTCACTTCTAATCCATTTGTAAGTAATTTGTCCCCTGTCAAATATATTTCACATTCATTCATCTCTCCTGATCCCCATAATTATCATCCTTGTGCAAGAGGCTGTCCTCCCTCCTGTAGAATACTGCACACACTCTCTACTATTCTCTTCCTTTTCAATGTTAAATACACACACACACACACATCTGTATATAAAACCAACTATTCTCCTTGGAATAGGCAGAGTTTCATTTTTAATATTTTTTAAGTAAACTCTACACCATACAGGGGGCTCAAACTCATGACCCTAAACCAAGTCAATGCTCTACCCACTGAGCCAGCCAGGCACCCCCAGAGTTTCATTTTTAATATATAATGAAATCACATCACTCCTCTGCTTAAGTTCTCCTAGAATCTAAAGGCTTCTCATCACCCTAGAATAAATAAAACCCCTCCTGATGTACAAGGCTTTCCATGTCTTGGTACTTTGCAACCTGCCTGACCTCATTTGATACCATTCTCTCTCTATTCATGTTCAACCTTCAATGCTCCCAAGTCACTGCACTTCTTCCTTTTGTCAACAGATCATGCTTGAACCCACTGTAGGGCCAATGTATTTACCAGTTCCTTTGAAATACTCTTTGCCTTCTCCTTGGTAGATGTAGCTGGTTCCCAAACATTCAGCTCTAAGTGTCACTTCCTCCAAAAGTCTTTCTTGGCCACCCAGTCCAGAGCAGCCACTGGCTTTTTCAAACTCAACAGATCACTCATCATCAACTCACTTTTTGCTTACCTATTTGTTTTCCAGCTTAATAAAGCTAAACTCTAAGATCCAATAGAACTTTGGCTTTAATACCTGGTTATTGTTTGAACTACCTCAGTATTTATTCTAGTGCTTGCTATTTAGATTAGTGTAGAAAGAATTCAATAATTTTTTTTAAATATATGAATGAGTGAATGGATATCTTAAGAGCCTATACATAGGCTCTCAATTTTCATATATATATATATATATATATATATATATATATATATATATATAGAGAGAGAGAGAGAGAGAGAGAGACTCACACACACATACACACACACACACACACACACACACTCCCCACAGGGTGGGGGCAGAGAGGTAGTGAAGAGGGAGGGGAAAAGAGAATCCTAAGCAGGCTCCATGGTCAGTGTGGAGCCCAACACAACTTGATCTCAAGACATTGAGATCATGATCTGACCCAAAATCATGAGATGGGTGCTTAACTGACTGAGCCACCCAGGTGCCCTGAGCCAAAATATATTTTCAGTTAAAAAAAATAGGCTTTTGGAAGATGAAGGCTTGAAACCAAGGTCCCTTCAAAAAGGCTAGGTTGCTTAACATGATATCAACATATAAACTCCTGTTATTCTTACCAATTTTGCTATATTTTCCCTTATAATGTTCTGTTTATTTCTTTTCCCATAGCACTCATCAGACTAACTCTATTTTCTGCATATCTATTTGCTTAAATTCTTTCTCTTCATACTAAAATGTAAGCTCCATGAGGGAAGTTCGTTCACCACTGAATTCATAGTCTAGGATAGTAACTTGAACACAAAGACACTCAAAAATTTGTGTTGAATGGGTGAAGATAAAAGGTATGGTTAAAAGTGGCTGATTCAGGTTATCTCAATTTTCAGTGAAGAAACAAAAGCATTCTTCTCTAGAAGTAATGGGCCACCTATTCTAGTAAACATTTTTGATCATAGATCTCATCAAATGTTCTTAATAACTCAAATTCCTTTAGACTTTAGATAGGCCATTGCAAACGTTTTGTCTTACTTTTTGCTTCCTGAAAAATAGGAATTAAAGGAAATAAACAAGCCAATTAAAATTATCTTATCTTTTTAGAGCAAGTCCAACTTGAGAGTTCAATAATCACCACCAACTGATTATCATTCAGGGGTAAATGAGCACAAAGGAGAAAGTAAAAAGGATGGAAGAAAAAAATCTGAGAGGCAATTTTTGTGCTGCTTAGTATAAGACTTCTCTTGTTTTATTGAACTTGTTAATAAAAGCTCTAAGGTCTGGGGAAATGCTTCCGGGCAGCAAAGCAAAGTTTTGAAGCTCACAGGTCTAAGGAGAAATTAATAAAAAGCAGTGGGGAAATTAAATTGAACAAAAGTGCAATGAGCCATAGTTAAACCAATTAATTAGGCAGGTTTTGATATGTATATAACGGAGTTGCTGAAGAATTAAAAATAAATCCAAGATTTTAAACCAGTGTTTGGTATTGAGCAAAACACCAAATGGTAACATGCAGAAAACTTGTAGTTTTTAAAGTGATGTTCTTTGATGAATTCCTTCCTTATTCAAATGCATCACCACTTTCCCTTTTTCAATTAATCTTTTAAAAACAACGCTTTCAATAATACATAAAAGTCTTACGCTTTGATTCTCTTCTGCATACGTTTTTTTTGCCAGTTTCAAAACCATGCAATTTTCTTGCAGTCTGAATTACAAAAATATTTATTTTTCAGTATTATGTCTACTACTTTTAAGGAAGCTGTGAAGATTAACTTGCTTAGTGCATCTGCAGCCTGGCAGGTGTGAGGCAGGATGGGTGAGGAGTCAAGACCACTGGCTGGGAGTCACATAGATCTAGTTTCAGTTCAAACTTATCACTAAAGAGCTATAATACCCTGCACAAACAACTTGGCTTCTGTAAGCCTCAATTTCCTCCACTGTACAAATTTTGTACTAGCTAAATATATTTGAAAATTCTTTGGCATAATGTCTGGCAGAAAAATCTCTGAATAAAATGGAAGTATTAATATAATGCAATTTGCAACTATGCAAAATTGCTTGTTTTGGAACTTTAAACAACTGTTAAAATATATATAATATATATAATATTTATATATAAATATATAGTCATATGACATTTATATAAATATATAATATATTTGTTTATATATTTTTTTCATCAAAAATATTTTTAAATAATGAAATCGTTGGTAGAAGATAGGTTTAAAAGTTTAAATATATATTTAAACATATGTATATATACACATATATATGTTTAAATATATATTTATAATATTTATATATATAAATATGTAAGTATTTATATATATAAATATGTAAGTATTTATATATTTGGTGGAAGATAGGTTTCTAGACTACTGTCCTAAACCTTCATCCTCAGAAACCATTCCCAGACAAATCTAATCATGATTGCTTCACTTGGAACCTAATGATCTTTCATTCATTCATCATTTTTCTGCATTATCAGGTACATTCTTAGGTTCTGGAGATATAAAGACCACTCACCTTCAATAAAGACACAGCTAGCAAAGGAGACAGACACAAAAACAAGTGTCCATAAGACCTATGGTATCTGCTGATGCTGGAGTTTTGCCCAGGATGTTCAAGAAACACAGGGGTTGGGCACCTCACATAGACTTCACATAGGTTTAGGGAGACTTCTCAAAGTAGTTGACCAGAACTTGATTAGGTGCACACCTCAAGCCAGGGCCTTTCACTAATTTTTAGGGGGAGTTTTTCATGTGTGAGCTCAGTATTACTTAACTATACATATTAAAGTGTCATCTCCTGGGTGTATTTTGGCTTATCTAAACAGATTTTGAATAACTTCCAATATGCATGTAACTTTTATGGAATGTCAACAATATATGAATATAAACAAGCACAAACTCTTAATTTTAAGGCAGTTCTTTCCATTCTGGAGATACAGTTAAGTTTAAATCTCCTTTTAAGAATGTTCATCTCCCGCTCACTTTTTCATTATTTGATATTCATTGCACAAAGGAAATGATTGGAACAGGTTGTACTGAAAACAGAACAAACGTTATAATAAATAATATTGTTCTATCCACAATACTGTACTGGTTGCCCCAAAGTTAGCAAGTTAAACATGTTTCCTAAAGCTTGTTATCAAGGTATTGGCATTCTATTCTTTATACTTCAATAACTTTTAAAGTATTCCCGAACATGCCTCTATCATCAGAGCAAATGCTGCAGCAAGATGATAAGACAGACGCTGCTTTTACAACAGGAAGTTCTGATGCAACATGCACAGATGAAAAGCCTGAAGACTCTGTTCTTTACCTGGGGGAAGAACTTTCCATAGACTCTGAAGGTGGAAGGGGACTTATTCCCAAGACACAGTAAACGCTATGGGCAGCGGGGGGGGGGGGGGGGCAGGAACCACATCTATATTATTTGCTGTTGCTTTCCCAGTGTTTGGCACATAATTGATGCACAAAATGGTTGAGTAAATAACAAAACACATGTAAAAGTCTTTGCTCCGTGTTTCTAACAAATGTTCATTTATTCTCTGAAAATCTCTAGGGACTAAAAGCTCCTCTTTGCCATCTGTGAAAAATCAGACCATGCATTCTATTTACATGGGGGCCAGTTAGTATTACTTTATTTCCTAACTATAGACCACATCTCTAAATTTCACTAGTAATCTTTGAGATATCCACTGGAACTTACTAAGAATGTACATGTGATCATGGATAAACTGTCCTTATTATAGTAATGACATGTCATACCATGTTTTCTGAAGAATATAGACCAAGAGCTTCAATTTACAGACTCATCAATCACAGTCACCATCTAGTTTAAGCCTCATGGTGATCATACATGTATATCAGATAATTAGTTTTTTGACTCTGAAGGTTCTTGATAATTTTGAGTGATCAAAGGAAAACACTAAAATACCTAAAAATCCTAAGCATTTTTTTTTGCCTTTTGAACATGTTTTTTTTCTTTTACATGTATACATTTGTTCATATATTTCTAATTGATAAACCTGACACCTCTAAAATTCAATGGAAAAGTTAGAAGCAACAAGTCTCTGTAAGATTTTTAAATTTTCTGTATTACTCTTTTTTACCTTTGAAGTTTACTACACCAACTGCAGTTGAAGCCAATCTGAGAGGATACACAGGGGCCACAGCCATTAAACTGGAGACATGCTAGGAAACAAGACAGAATAGGTTTATCAAGACTCATTAAAAGCATGAAGAGAAATTTAAAAAAAAGAAAGACTCCTCAACCATATTTAAAAATCACCCACCTACCTCCATATACACACAGGATCAAGATACTTAGGTATCAACAGACCAGATCATTAAACTTTCCCACCTAGCTCTGTTCACAAGGTAACTTACTAGGTAATGGGGTCATCTCCACAGCTGAAATATTGGTAATTTTTGACATTTGTAGCTCTACTCGGTGGTATTCATAAATTGTTCTTCTTCGGACATCTGTAAAAACAAAAAGAAGAAAAAAACATCTTTCAAGATTTCTGCACCTATAAAACATCATCTGATAGTGATGTAGAATGATACACTTTTCACTTACGTTGGTTTTAAGATGAAGATTTAAAATAATCCCTGTGAAGAGATTGATCATTAAAACACCCTGAAAATCATGTGCTGATATACCCAGAAGGCTTTTTTTAATCATTGAAGTTGAAACGTTGATTATGGTCTCAGATATCGCACTTTGCTAGCAGGGCTCCAATCCATTGTTACCCAGGATATACTGAAGACATTTTCTTAACAGATTTATATATTTTGAAAGAGTCCCACATAAAATAAAGAAGGTAAGATGACACCACTTCTTTAAAACTAAAGCTAAAGTGAGTCCTTTAAGAATGAGTAGCCATTAAAAATTTTTCACAGCCTAAAAAAAAAAAAAAATTCACAGCCTAGTTAATAAAGTTACTTTTTACCAGAATATGAGTTTGATTGCTTTAAAGATTTAGAATGAAATTTCTTTAATAAAAGAAAAACAGTACTTAAGCCATCTTAAAAATTTAGTACTGATATTTATTAAATATACAGTATCATATCTGAGGAAAGTTGATAATTAGTGCTTATATTGCATGAACAAATTTATAATCATTCATCAGCAAATTCAACAGTATCCCTGAGGAATAGGCTAGGTGGAAGACTTTGACACAAACTTTAATAATTAAATATCAGATAAACATGGAAAAGATTTTATTATAATCAAGACTGTTGATGAAATATATTTAAAATTTCCTATTAAAGAAAGACTTGAGCCTTATGCTAATAAGCTTGCCTGAGTTTGGTGAATTGTAATGGAAAAGTAATGTTAGCAGCATTTTATTTAGCTCTTGAAATGTCTGTGATGACAGGAAGGCATTTCTTGAATATTATCATTTCTATCAGGAATTATTTGGGATGCTATATGTCTATTGAAAAAATATGTATCAAATATTGGGAAGTCATATGTCATAGTGGTTGATAGTACATGCTCTTGAACAGTCTTGTGTGGTTCACACCCCAGTGTTGCTGCTTGGTATCTGTGTGACCCTGGGCTCCTTTGTTAGCCTCTCTGTATATTGTTCCCTCATCCATAAAACAGAGATAATAGTATCTATACCATTGAGTTGTTTTGACAAATAAAATGAGATAATAAATGTAAATTGGGACAGCCCCGGTGGCGCAGTGGTTTGGCGCCGCCTGCAGCCTGAGGTGTGATCCTGGAGACCCGGGATCAAGTCCCACATCGGGCTCCCTGCATGGAGCCTGCTTCTCCCTCTGTTTGTATCTCTGCCCCTCTCTCTCTGTGTCTATGAATAAATAAATAAAATCTTAAAAAAATGTAAATTGGTTAGAACAATCCCTTTCAAACTGCAGGTGCTCAATACATGTTCAATATGGCAACTATACATCATGCTAGTTATATGCTGCATGTATTAGTCTATTTCTACAGGCCTAAACTCACTGAAATCACACTAAGACTCTGAAATCAGGCTTCCAGGAATATGTTTTGCACTTTTGCTTCAAGACAGTTAAATTTTGACTAAAATCAATTGACTCAACAGTGATCTCCTCTAGGACATAGCTTAGGAATATGGTGTCCAGGAGATAGTGAGCTGTATTTTATTATAAGTGTTCAGGAAATGTAGATATATCTACATACCCAGGAGCAAAGTCAAACATTACTTATACGTATTTCTACTTTTATCCATTCATATCTTTTCACTCATTTCTGATTATTCACCATGAAATTCTACTGTGGAAGAGGAAGGAGAGGTAGCCCAAAATGAACTTTTTGGGGGCTCATAGAAATTCTAAAATCCATATGCTGAATGTACCTTCAGGTTTATCAGATTGGAAAAGACTGCTTAAGAACCATAATCCTACTCATTTCTTTTCGGTGTAAGGAAAGGATGCATATATAATTTTCAAGGTGTAAATGTTAGTAAATATTAGATAAAATCCTAATTTCACTGTATTTATAAGGTTTCTTGAGGCATTTTTTTAAAGTTTTAATTTTAAAGCACATAAAAAGATTATCTGGCTTCTGCTTTGTCTAAATAATACATTTACCTATATACTGCTTTCCCTTGTATTTTACTAAATAATTTAGTTCTTGGAAATAAGTAAATAACATGGCTTTGCCATGAGATCACTGGTTTGGGGGTTTCTGAGTCTCTTTCATACTCAATTCACTCAGTATCTATCAGATTCAGAGGTGCTTAAAATACTAATTTTCTCTTCATATTATAAGTTCCTAATCTCAAACTATTGATATAATGACTGTGAGCCTCTGAAAGTGAATTATTGATTATGCATATGGGGTCAAAGGAAAGTGAACTTTCTTGCTATGCTAGTTCTATCACCTGCTCAAGACCCCTCCAACTATAGGGAGGAAATGAGTTTAGCAAAACTAAAATTAATGAGAATGATTTTTGTTTGATGACCTGCCAATTAATGGCAGCTTCCAAATGGTCATTTTTGTTGTATTTCAGAGATACCCTGTCAGAAACAAGTAATTAGGAATGTATTTACTGGTAGCTCCTGCCAATATTAGAAGCTTTCATTAGATTCCAGAAATGTATTTAGATCATGTGTCTTCTTTAGAAAGTCAGCCAAAATAATGCTGTACCAAACATTCAGTCTTAGTAGTGCTGAAACAGCTTTAACTGTTTTCTTACAACTTCACTAAACCAAGTTCAAATATAATACCCATTAGGGGCTTTTAAAAAGAATAAAAAAAGAAACAAAATCTCTGAGTAGACTAATACATAGAGAATAAAGTTTAGTATCTAAAATCTTAAGGTGATATGATTCAAAGTATGACTAATGAATTGCATCTTTTAGAAATTCTGAGCAAAATTAACAGGAGGGAACAGAGTGATCATATGGAAACACCAGGAATCCTCTCCAATCAGTATTCGCTCTGGCAGAAATGAACACAGTTTAATGAGTACCCTGTGGCATGATTAGCCATGATCTAGTTTATTTGCCTGTCTTTAAAGCTAACATTCACATAGAGAATGTATGAGTAATTTCCTAAATTGGCAGATTCTTCCATTTATATAAATATTTTAATATTGTCTAAACTGTCAAGTAAAAGATTTGCTAACATTGCCTCACCGATGCATTGCCAATGCTTAATGATTGGTCCCAAATGTTTTTTTTTTTTTTTTGAGTTCCAATTGAGCCCACCACACACAGCACCATTCACTAAGAACTCTTTTTTTTAATTATAAATTAATTTTTATTGGTGTTCAATTTACCAACATACAGAGTAACACCCAGTGCTCATCCCATCAAGTGCCCCCCTCCGTGCCCGTCACCCATTCACCCCCACCCCCCGCCCTCCTCCCCTTCCACCACCCCTAGTTCATTTCCCAGAGTTAGAAGTCTTTACGTTCTGTGTCCCTTTCTGATATCTCCCACACATTTCTTCTCCCTTCCCTTATATTCCCCTTCACTATTATTCATATTCCCCAAATGAATGAGAACATACACTGTTTGTCCTTCTCCGATTGACTTACTTCACTCAGCATAATACCCTCCAGTTCCATCCACGTTGAAGCAAATGGTGGGTATTTGTCGTTTCTAATGGCTGAGGAATATTCCATTGTATACATGATGCAATGAAACGCCGGGACACCTGCACCCCGATGTTTCTAGCAGCCATGTCCACAATAGCCAAACTGTGGAAGGAGCCTCGGTGCCCATCGAAAGATGAATGGATAAAGAAGATGTGGTTTATGTATACAGAAGAACTCTTTAATTAAATAGTAAATGTATTGCATAATTAAGAGTTCATATCTGGCATGAGGACATGAGAAAATAAAAGAGACCCAGCATTATAACAGTGAATTACAAACTGTAACTCATCAACAGAAATAGCCGGTTGGCATTGTTATATCAAGCACCTACCAACAGAAGATGTTTTTGTTTCAAACATTTTTTTTATTCCTTCTGTATTCTAATCCTATTAAATAATAATGTAATTCATTTTGGATGAGGCAACAAAATTCAGAGAAAAATGAAGTACTAATATGAACCTCTTGATTTTCTTCTCATCATTCCTTCATTGTTTGTAAAGTTCCAGGAAACTACTAAAACCCCAATTGCAATGGTCAGATTTCATGAGTTATTTGAGCATGCCTAAAGAAAATCAGAAACGTCATCTAAAACCAATCTTCACTTTTCTCCTCCATCCATGTATATTTACTAACAGCTGAAACAAAATGCATGTACCGATTTCTTTCAGTAAACCCTCTGCTCAAGAAGAGAACCAGAACGAGCACGGGACAGTAACTGGTCAAGCAGTATCTTAGTGGGCTGGTGTGACATGGGGACTTCAGGCCTAAGATCAAGGTTCCCATTGATCTAGGGAATGTTCCTCTGAACATGGTGCTTCCCCCCAGGGGAATATACCACTTTATTTCTGTGACTTTTTGGGAGCATTTGTAATGTACATTGGCAATATCATGATTATCTCTGTTTTATTCTGAGAGAAAAGAAAATTGTGACTTTCTTAAAAAAATTGGGTGAGATGCAGTAAGATTTCTGTATTTTAAAATCAAGTTTTAAAAAAGCTTTTAGTGCTAAATCATGCAATTGTTTGGTACTTGTATAAGAGAAACTCCCAACATTTCCAAGAAACTAAACTTTCTATAAAAAAATCCAACTGGAAAAATTAACATGTGGGCATGTTTGAAAAGGTATCCAATCAGTATTATTAAAAATAGAAATATTCTCTGTGTAGTAGGGAAGTGTAAATTAAAATAGAAATATTCATTGTCTAATAGGGAAAAATTAAGAAAAATTAAGGCAGAGGAAAGTATAAATTCAAAGGCAAAATTGAGAGAGAAAAGTGGAATATCGAATCTCTGAGGCTATAATTTAAAATTAAAAAAGGCAGATAGGCTTTGATAGAAAAATTAGATTTCTACCTAGATTATTTTGGAGAACTGTTTTGGCTACTT